TGAAAAAAATTATTTTTTCAGTAAAAAAAAATTAATTGTTTAGTAAGGAATAACTGAATAATAAAAGTTTCTAAAAATTGCATTTAGTTGGGAATTTTTTTCACTAAAAGTATTTTTTAGATACTTTTTAATAAATAATTTTTAATAAAAAAGGAAATTACTTTTTGTAGGGAAAATTACTTTTTTTTTAGTAAAGAATGATTAAAATTAGTAATAAAAATTGATGAATTTTAATTTTAGTCAATTGCAATTTTTTTACAAACTTTTAGTAACAAAAACTATTTTCTTTATTGAAAAATTACTTTTTTGTAAAGAATAACTAAATTTTTTTTACTAAACTTTTAATTAAAAAGAAATTATTTGGTTAGTGAAGAATAACTAAAATTATTAATAGAAATACTTTTCAGTGAAGAATGACTAAAATAAAGAATAAAAATTATAAATTTTTAATTTCAAATTAGTTAAAAATTTCTTTTTAGTGAAGAATAAATATTTTGCTAAATTCTTTTTTTACAAAAAATTACTTTTTAAATAAAAGAAATTATTTTTTTAGTGAAAAATTAGTTTCTTAGGGAAAAAATCCTTTTTTTTTTAGTAAAGAATGGCTAAAATTAGTAGTAAAAATTCTTGAATGAAAATTTTATTTAGTTGCAATTTTTCCACAAACTTTTGGTGACAAAAATTATTTTTTTTCTTGAAAAATTACTTTTTAGCCCAGAAAGATTAAAATTTGTATAAGAAAAATTCCTTGAATTTAAATTTCTTTTAGGTGAAAATTCTTTTCGTAAACTTTTAGTAAAGAAAAAATATTTTCTACTAAAGAAAAATACATATGTATTTAGTGGAAAAAATTACATTTTTAGTAGAGATAATATAATTTTCGGTGAAAAATTATTTTTTTAGTAAAGAATAACTATAAATTTAGTATTAAAAATTCGAAATACAGTGAATTATTTTACTAATTCACACTCAGAGGATAATTAATAAATTCGTAACGAAATTCTATTCTATAATTATTTTTTTTCCCCAAGGAAAATATTTTTTTTGTAAAATTAATTATTGCATCATTTCCTATATAAACTTGTTAATCAATCGTAGATACTAACTCGAATTTCAAGGGTTCAACTAACTAATGTCCATATAAATGAAGTTATTTCCGTTCGTCCTGGACAAATTTCATTTTAGTGCCCGAATGTTGTGCACTCGAGTTATGTTTCTCGTTATGGAAACATTTACATCTGACTTGAAACTTTGGTCGTATCTATATAGACACACAAATATATATCTAATATATAAGGGAAAGAGAGAAAATTCCCATGAGGAACACTTTACATATATATAAATATATAAAAGAAAAGTGTGAAAATATTTCTTTTTCTGACAGTTCGTATGCAGTTCTCTTGTCACATTTAAAACCATCACTCTTTTTCTAATTTATTTAAAAAATAGAAAGAAAAGGAAAAAAATTAAATTTTGTATTAAGGAAAAAGTGCATTTTTTTTAGAAAAGGAGAATTTTTCCTCTCAAATATATTTATATTTAAGAAAAATAATAATAGAAGAAGAAAATAATAGGAAAAATAGAAATAAATAGAAATAGAAAAAAATAGAAAAATAAAATTTTTACTTTTAAATATATATATTTAAGGAAAGGAATAAATTTATATTCAAGGAAAATAATAATAGAAGAAGAAAATAATAGGAAAAAATAGAAATAAATAGAAATAGAAAAAATGGAAAAATAAAATTTCTCCTCTCAAATATATATTTAAGGAAAGTAATAATAGAAGAAGAAAATAATAGAAAAAAAATAGAAATAATAATAGAAAAATTTCATCTAGAAATCCAAAAATAAGCATAAAAAATAAAATAAAAAAAATAAATAAACAAACTCTTTTGGATTTTAGAATTGGTATGTAGAGTGGAAAAAAAACGGGAATTTTTTTCACGTCTGAGAGAAGGATAAATGGGAGAAATATATATTAATGATGATTCGAAGAATATACTGACCCAGTTTTCAAATATCTCTTTATCAAAAGCGAATTCAAAGTGATTTTTTTTTTTTTTTTTTTGCTTTTTTTAAATAGGGAATGCAGGCGACCTTATTCTAGTATTTGAAGTCAGAGAGAGAGAGAGAAAGGGAGAGAGTTTTCTAGCGTTTGTGGTTGATAAGCACGAAAACTGAAGAAGCATTCGAGGAAGATGGTGGTTGTGCTTTACTTGCTATTCATCAAGTGGTGCTCTTGCCACTGTACCACTTTTCCACCTTATTCTGCGCCTACATCTTCTCTTAAAATTCTATAGGGCCTCTCTCTGATTCACAGCGATTAAAAATCCTTCACAAAACAGCGTCAGCCATACTTTTTAAAGCAATGAAAAAAAATAGAGAAATAATAAAACGAAAAGAATTTGGACATAAATTCCACAATTATTGTTTCGAGTAATAAAAATAATAAAATAAATTGAGAAAAAAAACAAATTGATTTTATTTATAATAAATAAATAAAAAAAAAATAATAAAAAAAATAAATAAAAAAATAAATAATAAAAAAAAATAAAAAATAAAATAAAAAAAATAAATAAAAAAATAAATAATAAAAAAAAATAAAAATAATTTTCGATTATAATTCTATTTATTTGAATGGAAACAAAAATTTTTTATTTAGAATTGACATTCAGCTGAGTCTGTCCACACTTTATTTTTTCAAATAATGCAAAAATATTTTTATTAATCTAAATAAAATTATTAATTTTATTATTCATTATTTCTTTGTTTCTAAAAAAATTTTGCATTTTGTAACAAACGTTTCAGGTATAATTAACAATAATTGTAAATCCTGCAAAATATTATCCTTTTTTTTTAATATGAAAAACTTAATTGTTTGACAATTCGGAATTATGCATTTTTTCTAAAAAAAAAATTTTTTTAAATTATTGGAAAATTAGAAAATAGAAAATATTTTGCACATTTTCTGCTTCTCAATTACAATTCATAAAGAAAAGTACAAGTTTAGAAAAAAATGTTATGAATCAAATTTTGTTTAAGAAATTTTTGAATTTATTTTGAAAAAAATATTTACAAAAATTTCTATTTGTTAAAAACGATTGTAAAATTTTTCGAAAACATCAATAACTTCTTTTCTAAATAAATATTTAATCATTATTATTTTTCCATAGGAATTTTAAAATTCTTCAAAAGATTTAAATTCAAAACTTTTTGAAATTTAACAGCCTATAAGAATATTTATTATGAAACATGAAGAAATTGATTGCTCCGAGTCGAAGGCTTGGAGTGATCGGTTTCTTCATTTTTGATAATAAATTAAAAATAACTGAGTGATAAGATCATTATTTTTTAACTGAAATTCATTTTTAAATCAATTTTTATTAGAAAATTCTACGAGAGAATTCAATTATTTAAATGCAAAAATTAAAAATTTATTGAATAATTAAATATTTCTTAAAATTGAATTCCTACAAAGAATTTTATTATTTATGAAAATAATTCAATCCCTGTAAAAAAATGTATTATTTACTGAAAATAATTAAATTATTACGAAGAAATTTATAAGAAACTTGTAAATAATAGAATTCATATAAAATTGAGGAAAATTTTTGAAAATAATTGAAATTTTGCCAAAAATTTTGTTACAAATTTTTAATAAATTGAATTTTGCCAAGAATTTTATTAAAAATTTTTAATATAATTGAATTTTGGAAAAGAATTTGATTACTTTTGAAAATAATTTATTGAATTTATGCAATCATTTATAATTTTTTCAAAATTCCAATTTTTTTTCAATTTGAGTAAAACTTGTCTATAAATCCACTATTTTTAATAATTAATTAAATACATATTAAAAAATTTAATAAAATTCAGAAGAACTTGAATTATTAAAATTTTTTAAAAAACGTAAGTAATCTTTAAAATTTCTAATCAAATTCATAAAAAATTTCATCAGTTTTGGCCGAAAATATTTTTATTAGTCAGAAAAAACGAGATAAACATTTCAGAAACATTTTCTGACTAATAATAAAATTGTTTATTGCAAATTAAATTTAGATAAACATTTAAGGAACTATTTCTGACTAGTCAAAAATATTTTGATTCAACTTGAACTACTGTTAATTTATTTCAGTCAACAACACTTTTTTTGGTCAGAAATATTTAGATAAACAATAAAGGACCTTTTTCTGAGTTATAAACGAATTCCAGGAACATTTTCTGACTAATAAAAATATTGTTGCTTCAAAATTTATTTTTTACCAGGCGATAAACTCAAAAAAGAACAAAAATAATTGTCTTATGGCTGAAGCTGCTGTCTACTAATTTTGGTCAAAAATATTTTTATTAGTCAGAAAAAAACGAGATAAACATTTCAGAAATATTTTCCGACTAATAAATAAAATTGTTTATTGAAAATTGAATTCGCCGACGACAAAGTAAAAAAGAAACAAAAAAATTGTCTGCTGACAATAAATTTTGGTCAAAAAAATTTTTTTAGGTCAGAAATTTTTAGATAAACATTTCAAGAACATTTTCTGACTAATAAAAATATTGTTGATTAAGAATAATTTTAGGTAACGATTTTTAGTAAACGATAAAGTCAAAAATGATAAACTCAAAAGTTTATAACAATTTAATTCTGAATAAATATTTTTGAACCAAAAAAAAAAATTGTCTACTGAATTTTTGCTTCGGCTGCTGGGTTTAAATTAGGGTCAGAAATAATTTAATTAGTCAGAAAACTCTAAATTAACAATCTGAGGACATTGTTCAGTAAATAAGTGCGAAAATAACTAATTAACAATTGATTATTTTTTCTGTAACCTAATAAAGAAAAATGATAAAATGAAATAGAGCGAGGTTTATTTATTATCTCGTAATGAAAAATCGAAAAAAAATTTTATTTATAATTAAAAATGAAAAGGAACTAATTCAATTAACTGTTGTTTATACTTTTTTTCTAAAGGAAAAATGTTTCTTTATTTTTGTTACAGAAAAGCTTGCTATCGTTGTGTCGTCATTCATGAGAAGCACTCAAACGTTCTGCAGTACAAAGAAAGTAAGTTTTTTTCCTTTGACAATATATTATTATTATTATTACAACTATTATAATTATAACAGTAATAATAATTATTATTACTACAATTATTATTATTATTATTATTATTATTTTTTTTTTATTATTAACTACAATTATTAGTACTATAATTATTATAATTATAATTGTAACTGTAATTCATAATATAATTATATATATTTATTATTATTATTATTATATAAATTATAATTATAATTATTATTTTATAAATTTTATTATATAAATTATAAATTATAATAATAATTATTATTACTATTATAATTAACATAATTAATACTATTATGAAATGAAAAACGATTAGAAAAGTTATATAGTCGATAATAATGATTTTCTACAAGGTTGATGGTCGATTCATTAATTAGAATACCGATCGTTAATTAAAAGCTCCGGTCGTTAACTTGACGAACCTATGCGGTCGCGTTAAAGACGGAAGATTTTGTGTGAGGTGGGGGGGGGGGGGAAGGAGGCGAAATTCGACGCTACGATTATTCAGAAGGAATTTAACGATGTTCTATATCTCTCTATATTATATCGTTGGGCATTATAGATTTTCACTCTCAAAAGTTAATCAATCGTCTGTATAAAATACAAGTGTGTTACTAATATAATAACGGTAATCAGAATATTATTAAATTTCATAATTATCACTATAAACGTAATTCACAATAAATATTTAATATATATATATAATTATTATTAACCTGTTTAAAAAAATGTAATTAATATTAATAATTACTATTAAGGTCATAATAATTAATTAATTAATATTAATTAATTAATGTTAATTAATTAATGTTAATTAATTAATGTTAATTAATTAATGTTAATTAATTACTATTATCGAAATTTATATTAATTAATTAAATAATTACTATTCGCGTGATTAATATTGATTAATTTGTATTAATTAAATAAATAATTACTATTAACGTAATTAATATTAATTAATTATTGTGAATTATGTTAATAATAATTATATATTAGTATTTATGAATTATTGTTACTCACGTTGATAATAGTTGTTAGTATTAATTATTTATTATTAATTACGTTAATAATTATTATTGGTAATAATTGCGTTAAAAATAATTTTTAGTACATTAATTAATTATTGTTAATTACATTAATAATTATTATTGGTAATAATTTACGTTAATAATAATTATTATTGGTAATAATTTACGTTAATAATAATTATTATTGTTAATTATTATTATATTATTATATTAAAAGGAACGAAATCAAAACAAAGGTATTTGAAAAAAAAATTTTAATATATATTTTATTCATAAATAAATGTATAAAATAAATATCAAAAATAAATATCAAAAATAAATATCAAAAATAAATATCAAAAATAAATATTAAAAATAAATATTAGAAATAAATGAAAAAAAATATATTTGTACTTAATATAAATGTGTGTGAATTTTGGGTTTGATTACATGCGATAATTTTACATAAAGTGAACCATTAGCCTGATTGAAAAGTTTCAAAGAGTAACTTTTCTCTGAAATAAAATTGTTATCTTTACAGCTGGCTTAAATGAACGTTCTCCCAAAACTTACTTTCCTTTCAATATTTGACTATTTGAAATAGAAGGGGAAACTTTTAGATTGAAGATGTTTCGAATATTAAGAGTTCAAAAAAAAAAAATAAATAAATAAAGAAGAAGAACGAAACTAATTATAGATTGGAGTGTTTCGACATTAAATCAATTTCTATTCACTTTTAATTAGAATTCAATGAAATTTCAACTAGAAATTTCAACTATAAACATCAATTTTTATTTTTTTGGAATTTAATTATTTATTTATTTAATTTTTCAAATTAATTTTATTTCAGTTTTGTATATTTTCCCCATGGTTTATTATTGAAAAGAATTTTTTTTTTTTATTTTATTGTAAATATTATAGAAATAGTAAAATTTGTTTTATTATTTTTTTCCCCTTATTTAAATTTGAATTTCGCGCCATTTTAACTCTGGAAGTTGCCGCCTAGATGGCATGAAAATTCTCTCACAATCGACATTGACTCGCTTGGAGTATATAAAAGAGTTCTGAAAGTTTTTATAATTAAATATTTATTTTTAATTTTGTAATAAACATTTTACTGATGATAATAAATTAATAATAATCAATACTAATAAATAATTATAAAAAAAAAATTATTTTTTATTTTTTTTTTCAAATTTTTTTTTCTATTTTACATACCAGTAAATACCCTTTATTGTAGAGAAAATAATAAATGTACGATAAAAAATAAAAAATAATACACAAAAACTAAAAAGTAGGTTATTCTGAGTGTTATATGTTCTCGAAAAATTCTTACGTGTTGGAACGTGAAAAAGAAAAAAAGGGGGTAAAAAAAAGAGAGAGGATCGCGACTCGACACTCAACTCGAGAGCAATCTCTGGACTCTAGACCCCAAGCCATTCGCATTTTTCGACGATTTGTCAAAGCGCCAGTTTTTATCGGATTTTAATCTGCATAGTGTCATACCACAGACACCCGTGCAACGTGGCTCGCATCGGTGAAACGTGATAGGTCATATGGGGTAAGGTGGGGGAGGAGGGGGGGCGGGGGGTGGTTTGGTTGAAGCAGGAACGAGAGAGACTCGACCACGATCATAGTTTGGTGGCGTTTGTTGGGGAAGTGGGGTGGGGGACAGGGGTTTGGATTGGAAAACCGAGGAAAAGGCGTAAAAGCAAAAAAAGATTTTTTGCTGCGAGTCAGAGATTGGGAAAAACACAACATTGCACTTTTTCGACCAATTCAATAGTATTAAAATAACACCATCTTTTTCAAGAGTTCCACTCGGTTCTCTTTCGAACTTGTCTCTTCAATTTTACTCTTTCTTTTTTCTATTTCATTATTTCTTCTTTTTTCCCCTCTTTTTCTTTTTTTGTTTTTCTCAATTTTTTTCTCCGAGAGAAGAAATATTTTTAACGCCTGTCATTTATTTATTTATTACTAGGCTTATTATAATTTAATTTCTTACTTTTTACTGTTATTTTTGTTTATTTATTTTCATTAGAATCATTTATAATAATTCATGATTATTATTTTTATTCTTATTATTATAATAATTATCCTTGGTCGCAGTCGTTAAGGCGTTGAAAGTGCGTGATTTGGGCTTTGCGTTCGAGTCTCCTCGACTTTAGAAAATTTTTTAATTTTGATTCGTCATTAATTATTATTATTTTTATTCGAATATTTGTTTATTTATCATTCTTATAAAATTTTTATAATTTTATATTTCTTTAATAAATAAAAAAATATAAATAAAAATTATATTTTTTATTAATAAAAAAATATAATTAATATTAATTGTTAAATATAATTATAATAATCAGTATGATTTAATTTTTCAAATTAAATTCAAATAATTCAATTAATTTAATTAATTTTTAAATAATTCAATTAATTGTTTTATTATTAATTATTAATTTTTTAATAACATGATTATCTTATTAATAATAAAATGTACAGAATTGTGTATTTAAAATATTTTGACTAATTATTGAATTTTTTTTTTTGTATTCGTTTTTGTTGTAACATAATTTTGAAATATATTTTGTTTTCATTATTTCTATGAATGACAAGTGTTTGAAAATGTTATTAAATTGAAAATCAAAGAAAAATGGAAAGAAGAGAAACAGTCGAAATATGTTATAAATTTTCTTTTAATAAATTAAATTGAAAAGAAAGAATGCACTTTTTATAGTTTAGATATAAATTTTTAAAATGATATTCAACGGAGAAAAACACAGGATTTATTATTCAATTAAGTTATTGATTTTCAATATTTTCTCTCTTTTATTTAATCGACTTTGGCTTTCATTTTCTCCAAACATTCCTCAATTATTACTATTTCTGATATCATTACTACCATTTATTATGATTAAAATTGTGAAAATAATAATTATTAATTATTATTATTATTATTACAATTATATAATAATAATAATAATTTTGTAGTTATATTATTATTATTTTTTTTATTTTTTTTTTATTATTATTACATTTTTAATGAAATTATTTCTAAATTTGGAATGTTCACATTTTTTATTATTTATTTATTATTTTATTATTTATTTGTTATTTCATTACGTATTTTAAGTATTTATTTTCATTATCTTATCAAACAATGTGAAATTTTTTTTATTATTAACTTCTTTTGAAACAAAGTGAATTCTGTTAAATCACAACATTATATTTCTCTTTGAAATGTTTCACAGAGATTTTCCAAATATTTACAAGGAATTAATTAAAGAACTAAAAGTGAAAGAATTCATTTTCAAACCCGTATTTTTTTTTTTTTTTTTTTTTTTTTGGGAGAGTAGGATATTTTATTCAACCCAAACAAACCAAAAAAAAAAAAAAAAGGAAGAGGAGTGTTTACTGAATAAATAACAATCATGTAGTCATGTTTTAAAGGTAAGGGAATTGGAAAAAGCATGGATTTGAAAAGGCGCGTACAAAAAAAAAGAGAGCGCTGACGAAAGTTGAAATTTGCTTTGTTATTCTTTTTTTTTGCATATCTTTTCAAATAATTGTTCAATGAAACAAATGTTTTTATATACGCAGTTAGAAAAAAAAAATTTTTAATGAAACGTTGCATTTTAAGCGTTTTTATTGAAACATGTAACATTTTCATGGCGCTGATTGTTTATTCTTCCTTTTCTCCCCTTGCTACTTTTTTATAAATTTTTATTTCGATTTTTTTCCAATTTTTGTTCCAACTTTACTTTTTACAATTTTTTGTTTTTACCAATTGTTTACCACTTTTTTCTAACTGATTTTTTTTTTGCTATACAAAATTCTATATTTTTTGCAAATTTTCTTTTTGTTTTCGGCTATCAAATGGCTGCATGGCAGTTTTTTGTCCTTTGATTTAATATTTCTTTTTCTGCAATATTCTTTTATACAATGCAAAATCTAATTTTTTCAATACATCTCTTTTTTCCATTTCGCAAATATTCTGAATGAAAGTAAAAAAAAAAAAATGATAATAATGATTAAATTGTCATTTTTTTCTCTAAAAAATATTAAGTTTTACAATTTGGAGAAATATTTAGACTCGGACTGAATTTAGAAATAAAAAATAGTTTCATAAAATATTCGTGCCGGTTGCAAAATTAATTTGCAAATGTGTTTGCATAAAAAACTTTATGAATGTGCACTAAAAACATAATTTAAATTAATGTCAGATTAATATTTTTTATTTATAAAAATTGAGGAATAAAATTTAGAAAGAGAAAAAATGGAGGTTTAATTTCTCCACTTGAGGACGCCAATGTCGCCACCAGGTGGCAGGAAAAATTCCAAGAAAGAACGAAACTGCCATCTTGCGGTGACCTTGGCGTTCGCAGGTGGAGAATTGCATCTCCATATTGAATCTCAAGATATTCGTCAATATTCGTAGTTTCTATTTATAATCAAATACAAAAAAAAGAATAAAAAAAGAATAAAAAAAGAATAGAAAATAATAAAAAGAATAAAAAAAAGAATAGAAAATAATAAAAATAAAAAAATAAAGAAAAAAATAAAAAAGAATAAAAATAAAAGAATAAAATAAAAAGGAATAGAAATGAAAAAAAATAAAGACAGGAATAAAGACAAGAATAAAAATTATTACAACAACAATAACAATATTATTGGTATTAAATTTTTTTTTATTTAATAATAATAAAAATACAGTAAAGATTTTTTCTTCGATCAAGTTATGCTGATCGAAGTCTGAAAATAATAAAAAAAAACTCTTTTCGATAAATTTTAACAAAAATAATTTAACTTTGTAATTTTTTTCGTTTTTTTGCAGCCTACTGTCAAAATAAACACTCACTGGCGTCACTGTGCTCGTACATAACCGGTGATGCTTTGCTGTATTCAATGTTTCGTGAAGAAGCTGTGCCAGTTGCATGTCCATTTCATGGACCCTTGACTTTCTCGTACAACAGAGGACATGGCCTTTGTTCCAGTCCGCAAAGCAATGTTGACACCTGTACAGACGATAGCAAACTACTCTTTAGATATCAAGCCTGTCCAGACGTGCACGGTTCCGAAAGTTCCAGTGAGTAACAGATAAATTTTAATTACATTAAATATATATTCTAATTCAGTTCAGGAAGGTAATTTACTTTCCACACTCAAACAGTGGATACAGAAAGTGAAAAAAAAATTCTCCCCCTTTTGATCGGAATGTCAATAATAATTAAAGTATTTTATTTAATTATAAATCAATCAATCAATAATAATTATCAATAGTTAATCGATTAAAAATAATATTAATTAACGAATTAATTATTATTTTGTAAAAAAAACTACAAAGTTATTTAAACAATTAATTTTAGTATTTCAATTAATTATTATTAATTAATCAATCAAGTAGTGATAATTATAAATAGTTAATCGATTAAAAATAAATATTAATTAAAGAATTAATTATCACTTAAACAATTAGTTTTAATTAAACAATCAATTATTAATTAACTAATCAAACAACCAATTGTTAGTTAATCAATTAATTAACCAAATTAACCAACTACTAATCATAATTTAATTATTATTTAGCCAATTAATTAATCAATTTTTAATTAATCAATTAATTAACCAATTGTTAATTAATCAATTAATTAACCAATTTTTAATTATCAATTAATTATTATTTATAGTTAATTAATAATGGTTAATTACTAATTAACAACAACTAATTAACGAATTAACAACGATTAAATACTTTTAACTAATTAACAATTATTATTTATTAATTAATGAATTAAAAATAATTATTATTTATTAATTAATTAATTAATAATTAATAATTGTAAATTAATTAATTAACTATTAATAATTATTAATTTTTAATTGTACAATTAATTAATTATTAATAATTTTTAGTTATACAATTAATTATTAATAATTAATAATATTTTTATAATTAACACCTTTCAATACTTAAGAAATGTAGAAAATTTTTCATTTAAATTTCATTATATCTATAAATAATTCAATAATGTTATTGAATAACAAAATTATCTTACACTATTCTTACAATTATCGTATACATAATTTATTATCGACTACTTCTCGGTTATCTGAAATTAAATTTCTCAACATATGTCGGAATTAAATTACAAATTAAAAAAAATTGCAAAATTGAAATGAATAATTTTCTTGAAACGTTGGAGATACATTTTTTTTTTATTTAAATTGTTAATGAACCAATCGGTTTAAAAATATATATTTATAAATCTAGAGAAACAATAGGAAAAGAGTAAATTTCGAGAAATTTAAAAGTTGATTAAAAATGATATAATGTGATAAAATTGACAATTTTACTATTAAATTTTGAAGAAATGAAAATTTATTTAAAATTTTTGTGAAAGATTTTTAATAATCTTTATTCTTTATCTCGCAAAAATATTTATTTCTTTTGCAGAATAAAAATGTTTGAAAATAAGAATTCTTAAATTTTCTTGAAAATAATTCCTAACGATAAATAATAATTTTTATTTAAAAACACGAAAATATAAAGTTGGACAAATTTTTATTTTTACTGTCAATCGAAAGACTTCGTAAATAAATAAAATATAAACGTTTTGTTTCGAAAATCAATAAATTTTTTTTATTTTATTTTTGTTTTACAGTTTCGAAGATAATATTAATTGAACGATTCGATGTTTAAATTTACGTCTCGAAGAAAGAAACAATCGGAGTTGTATTTTTTAACTGCTTTAAAATATTTACCATTAAGTTTACAAGTATTAAATTACTGTTAAATAATATTAATTTTCATTTTGTGAAAAAAATTGTAAGAAAATTGACGGCTACTTTTAAATTTACTTTTCGAAGAAAGAAGCGAACGGAGTTGTATTTTTTAACTGTTTTAAAATATTTGCCATTAAGTTTACGAGTATTATATTATTTTTAACATAAATTAAATTTTTTTTCTTTAATTTTGTGAATCAGTTGTAAAAAAATTGAGAATAATATAAATATTTAAAAATTAAATTGGATATATTTGTTACTTCGAGTAATTTATAAATTTTCCTTTAATTCAACACATTTCATTATTGAAACAAGATTCTTTTTTATAATGTCAATTAATGATTTATTGTTATAAGCAGAATTATTTTGAAAAGAATCAAATTCTTCGTCATTGATATCTTTAATGTTTTTAACACTCTCTGTAAAGCATTTACTAAAATCGTCATTAATGAATTGCGTTGGAAAATTTCCATAGTACATATTAAACAATTGATACAAATTTTGAATTAATTTCTTATTTTCCTTTAGTTGTGTACCACATTCTTGTGGTATTAATTTTGATACTTCTGAACTATACTTCAACCATTTTGTTGATTTGAATAGAGATGCATTAGTTGTGTGATAAGAATAATTATCTTCTGCACTAATAGAAATGAACCAAATTATTGACGGAATTTTCCATTCTTCAATAGAAGAATTAACATTTATAGGAGATTTACTACATTCATAATGATTTAAAATTGTCTTAAAAAAATTAGTTACAATCTTAAGATGATCTCTAAATCTTATATCTGCTTTGTGAAGGTGATAAATAACTATTTTTGAATTAGTATTGGACATTTTTTTGTTGAAATAGTTAGCAGTTAAATTTTTCTCTTGTGACTGAAAAAAACATTTTAAGTATTAAAATGATTGCCTAATAATTAAAAATTAATTTAAAGAAAAATTGTTTGAAACAAATTTTTTTAATACATTATTTCTAAAAATACAAATTCTGTTCGTTACGGTAATGAAATTCTTATAACTTTTATATTACCTTTAATGCAATACACTTCATTATTTTCTCTTCTATTATAGAAAATGTATAATTATAATGAAAAAGTGCTTCTTCTAATGTTGCGAATTCCAAAAGGCTCACTACATAACAAGTATTGTATTCAATATCATTTTCTTCCTTTGGAAAATTTTTGTAATAAAAATTTAAGAATCGATAAATATTTTGATATATTTTTTTAAATCTTTCTGGTTGTCTTCCACATTCCAAAAGCATTGCACGTTTTATTATTTTAATTCTGTTTGGTATCAAGTTATCGGCAGCATAATTATGCAGTCTGTTATGCAAATAAATGTCTTCTGCACTCTCACAAGTCAAAATTAAAATTTGTCTAAACATATAAATCACTGTTCCTGTTGATGAATTACGTTTATTGCATTTGTAGTGATTTAAAAGTCTTCCAAAATATTCAGTAGTAAGTTGCAGTTGTTCTTTGAAATCCATTTTCTTTGCATCATTCATAAAAGTAATTTCTTTCAAGCTACTTTCAAAATTATTATTCACTTCATAAAATTCATCTTCATCTACAAGGCATCTAAACAATGCCTCATTGATAAAGAGAACGATACCCAATAATTGTAGAGTCCATTTGCCACACATTTTTGCTATTTATTTCCCTGCAAATTGCGTTACTGAATTAAGAAAAAATATTCCTTCTAAATACTCAAAACGGAACAACTTTGGAAAATTATAAATTCAAAAATGTTTCCTAAAATTTTATCGTGATGCACTCAATGTATTTTGAAAAGAAGAACGTTCAATACTGAATCATACATTTATTAACTAATAGTACAATTTTTGTATTGAAATATATTGAAACTTGATAATTTTTATTACTGAAAATGATAATTATTTATAGACTAAAAATTCATATTTCGTTTTAAAGAAAAATAATTTTTTACTTCAATTTCGTGTTTCTGTTTTTAATAAGTTATTAAATATTCGATTACATTTTTTTTTTCAAATCTAATAAAACGGAAATATTTATTTCAAGTGCTTTTCAAAGATTCAAAAAAATATTTTCGTTATCTCAGAAATTTTGACTCTTTTCGAAAATTAAAATTTAGTTGAAAATAAAAGTCTTTAAAGTTTCCTACAGATTTTTAACGATAAATAACATTTTTTATATAAAGCCACAAAAATATGAAGTTGGATTAATTTTCAATTTTACTGTCAATAACTTCTTAACTAGATAAAAAATATAAACATTTTGTTTCGGAAAACAATAAATTTTTTATTCAAGTTTTGTTTTACAGTTTCGAAAATAATATTAAATGTACAATTTGACATTTGTGAAAAATATATTTTAACTGCTTTAAAATATTCGCCATTATGTTTACAAATATTAAATTATTTTTACATACAATTAATTTTCTTTTTTTCATTTTGTGCACAAAATTGTAAGAAAATTGCCATTAATATAAATATTTTAAAATTAAATCGGATAAATTTGTTACTTGGAGTAATTTATAAATGTTCCTTTAATTCAACACATTTCATTATTGAAACAAGATTTTTTGTTACAATATCATTAATTGATTTTTTCCCATAGTTTGGATCTTTTTGAAAAATATAAAATACATTTAAATTGATATTCATAATATTTTCAACACTTTTTATAAAGCATTTACTGTAATCATCTTCAATGAATTGTAATGGATAATTTTTATGATACATGTTAAAAAGTTGATACATATTTTGAATTAATTTTAAATTTTCCTTTAGTTGCTTATCACATTCTCGTGATATTGATGGTAACACTCTTCTAGTAAAATTAGATAAATTCACATTGAATTTAAATGTATCATTGCTGTGAAAAGAATAATTATCTTTTGCACTAATAGAAATGAACCAAATTATTTTCGAAATTTTCCATTCTTCAGTATTAGAATTAACATTTTCAGAAAACTTACTAAATTCGCAGTGTTTTAAAATTGATTTAAAAAATTTAGTAACAAGTTTCAAATGATTTTTAAATGTTTTATCTTTTCTATGTAGCTGATAATTAACTGATTTTGAATTATTTGACATTTTTTTGCTGAAATATTTAGCAGTCGAATTTTCCTTATGTAACTAAAAGAAATTTTATTGTTAAGTTATTACAAGTTGAAAAAAAATTATTTTAATAGATTTCAAAACTTTTAATTTAAAAACAAAAATTCTGCTTGTTATGGAAATAAAATAGTCATCATTTTTTCTATTACCTTTAGTGGAACACATTTCTTTGCTATTTCTAAATTTCTTGAAAGCTTTATATCATTAGAATTAATAAGTTCTTCTAATGTTGCAAATTCCAATAGGCTCACCACATAACAAGTATTGTATTCAATACCATTTCTTTCATTTGGAAAATTTGTGTAATACAAATTTAAGAATTGGTAAATACTTTCATATATTTCTTTTAATCTTTCTGGTTGTTTTCCACATGCAAATGGAATTGCATTTTTTATTGTTTTAATTCTACTTGGTATTAAGTAATCTGATGTATAATTATAGAGTCTGTTATATAAATAAATGTCTTCTGCACTCTCACAAGCCAAAATTAAAATTTTTCTATAATTATAATTTACACTTACTGTTGGTGAATTACTTTTGTTGCATTTGTAGGAATTTAAAAGTTTTTCAAAATATTGAGTAGTAATTTTCAGTTGTTCTCTAAAGTCCATATTTATTCTATCATTCATAAGAGTGATTTCTTTCAAACAACTGTTTTCAGTAAGTGGGATTTCTTCTTTATAGAAATTAAAAATTCCCACAATGAACATGAGAACTGTACCCAGTAATTGTAGAGTCCATTTGCCAACCATTTTTTTACTTGTTTATTCTTTTGTCGACAACGTTAGTGAATTTCCAAAAAATATTGTTGTAAATACAAAAAATGTGCAACTTGGAAAAAATGAAAAATTTAAATTCTTTCCTAAATTTTTTAGTTGTAATGCACTCAATGTACTTTGAAAAGAAAAACGTTCGATACTGAAGAATACAATTCGTTACAAATAGTACATTTTTTTATTGAAATATATTGAAACTTGATAATTTTTTTTGCTAAAAATGATTATTATTTAAAGACTAAATATTTTATTTTAAAGGAAAATAATTTTTTACTTCAATCTCGTGTTTCTGTTTTAAATATGTGATTAAATATACGATTACATTTTTTTTTTTTTTTTTTTTGAAAATATAATAAAGCGGAAATATTGATTTCAAGTGCTTTTAAAAGATTCAAAAAATACCTTTTCTTTATTTCAGAAATTTTAATCTTTTCCTGATTTTAAGTTAAAAATGAAAATCCTTGAAGTTTCATTAAACAAATTTTTAACGGTAAAAAATGTTTTTTATTTAAAAACACAAAGACGTACAGTTGTACTAATTTTTAATTTAAAGTCAATCAGCTAACTTCTTAACTAGATAAAATATAAACGTTTTGTTTCTGAAAACAATTATTTTTGTTTTACAGTTTCGAAAATAATATTAAATGTACGATCAGACGGCTACGTTTAAATTTACTTTTCGAAGAAAGAAGCGAACGGAGTTGTATTTTTTAACTGCTTTAAAATATTTGCCATTAAATTTACGAGTATTATATTATTTTTAACATAAATTAAATTTTCTTCTTTTAATTTGTGAATTAATTGTAAGAAAATTGATAATAATATAAATATTTTAAAATTAAATTGGGTATATTTCAGGCTTCGAGTAATTTATAAATTTTCTTTTAATTCAACACATTTCATTATTGAAAAAAGATTCTTTTTTATAATCTCAATTAATGATTGACACCTGTAGGCAGAATTATTTTTAAAAGAATCAAATTCTTCGAGATTGATATCTTTAATGTTTTTAACACTCTCTGTAAAACATTTACTGTACATTAATGAATTTTGTTGGAAAATTTCCAAAGTACATATTAAACAATTGATACAAATTTTTATTTAATTTTCTATTTTTCATTAGTTGTTTACCACATATTTGTGGTATTATTTTTGATGATTTTGCCGTAGAAAAAAATAAATTTTTCTCGAATTGAATTAATTTATTTTTGTGAAAATTATAATTTTCTTTAGCACAACTAGAAATGAACAAAATTATCATTGGGATATTCCACTCTTCAAACTTGATAATTTTTATTACTGAAAATGATAATGGTTTATAGACCAAAAAATTCATATTTCATTTTTAGAGATATTAATTTTTTACTTGAATTTCGTGCTTTTGTTTTCAATATAAATTTTTTTTTTTGGAAAATTAAATAAAGTTGAAATATTGATAAAAAAAAAACTACTGATTGGAAAAATATTTTAATTTTCAAAAATAAAACATTGATATCTTTAATATTTTCAACACTCTCTAAAAAGCAGTGTAAAATGTGTAAAATGTAAAATGTAAGATGTAAAGGTCATTGACTGACCCGACCTAGTCTTGTTTTCTAAGAGGCCCTTTTTCTCTCCTCCCAGTGGGGTTTTATCGCGACATTAAAGTATCGTTTCGGCGATCCAACGACATCCCTCAAGCGTTACGCTATACGAGATAGCGTGCCTGATGTTAGTTCGCGTTTGTTTTAGACTGGGACATCGACAAATGTCTCTCGGCCAATCGATATCTAGGAGAGGAGAAGTTCCAACGCTCTCTCAGACAATGAACAAGCAAAACTATATATATATATATATACGAGCGTCATTCTCTCCTCAAGTGTCGTTTTTCTTTCTCTCGACAAAACACACTCTCAATTTTAACTATTAAAATTTTCTCCTTTTCTTCTCAACTATACGAAAATCTCTATTTTACTTGACATTGATAAATTATATTACGAGTACTCGAAAAATCTATCGATATGTAACTTTAAAGTGAAGAAGTAATTTCTTCTTTTTCGTATGATTCATTTTTTATAAATTGTTCTTGACGCGAGAGAATTCTACTATATTAATTATTATTTCATTAAAAAGACACTAATTTTTTTCGTACTTGAGATTTTAAATAGTTATTTATTTAGTAAATACCAAGTCAAAAATAAACCTAAAAAAATTAGAAAATAAAAATAGTATAAATTAAAGTTGGAATCAAAATTCATTTATATTAATCATCAAACTCTCTGAATTCAATTTTTTCAGGGTTGCCACAAAAATTTCATTTTTTTACCTGACTTTTCCCTGATTTCCAGACAAAATTTTGACTTATTCTCTGACACTGAAAAATATTTTCATTCACTTCAAAAATTATTAAATACTGAAAAAAAATTTTCTATTGTAATTGAAAATTTTTTTTTTTGAGTAATTAATAATTTTTAAAGTATTTATTTTATTTATGTTTATTTATTTTATTTTATTTATTTTTAAGTAAATATTTTTCAGTAAATAAGTGTAAACACTTATTTACAAATTTCTTCAAAAGTAAAATTATTCGAAAACATCAATAACTCCTTTTTTAAATAAATATTTTATCATATAAATAAATATTTTTATAAAACATATACTACAATTAAATAATCCAAAAAACATTTACATCTACTATAATAAATATTTTATCATTATTATTTTTCTATAAGAATTAAGATTTTATTATTTTGTATCATAAGAACATTGTAACTATAAATTCAAATTTTAAAATATTTTAATTTGAACCTTTTTCAAAATTCAATTATTTCTAAAAATTCACGCTACAATGCTTTAAATATTTAATTATTGTCTAAGATTTTAACTGAAATTCATGTTTAAATCAATTTCCATTAGAAATTAAAAAATTAAATAAATTCAACTAAATTCAACGAGAATTCAATTATTTAAATACAAAAATAAATAATTTATTAAATAATTGAATATTTATTAAAATTGAATTTTTATGAAGAACTTTATTAAAATTTTTAAAAATACATATTTATGAAAGTAATTGAATTCTGGAGAACAATATTATTATTTATGATAATAATTATTTTCTTGGCAAGAATTTTATTCAACATTTTTTAAATAATTGAATTTATTCAGAATTTTTTAAAACTTTTTGAAAATAATTGAATTTTTGTGAAATTTTTATTAACATTTTTGTTTAAATAATTGAATTCTTATGGAAAATTTTCTTAAAATAGTAGATATTAAAAATATTTAATAATTGAATTCTCGGGAAGAATTTTATTAAAGTATCTTAATTAATTGAATTGCTTCGAAGAATTTTATTTTTTACGAAGATCATTGAATTGTTTCGAAGATTTTTATAAACTTTTTGGACAATAATTGAATTCCTAGGAAAAATGTTATATTATACGAAAATAATAATTGTATTCTATGATCAATTTATTTATTATAATTTTTTAAAATATTTGAATTATCGAGAAACATTTTATTATTTATGTAAATAATAGATTTGAAGTTCATCTATTTATGAAAATGGTAAACGCAACTCTTTTGAAATTCAAATTAATTTTGAAATTTTTAAGTAGAATTATTGATTAAATAATTTCTAAGTTATAATTTTACGATATAGTTCTTCAAGAATTAAGTTATTTAAGAAGAAATTATTGTCAGAAATAAAAAAAATTGAAAGTTTTGTATTAGAATTCTTGTCAATTTCATAGTTTATGAGGCAAACAAAAAAGACACAAAAATTCAAAATTTTTTTATGAATTCTAAAAATTTTATTTTTTTCGGTATTTTTAATAAAAATCCCTGACTTTTCCCTAATTTCCCTGACCAATTCTAATTTTCCTGACTTTTCCCTGAATTCCTTGACCTGTGGCAACCCTTGAGATATTTTGAAATATTTTAAATAAATAGACTTGGTCCGAAAGTGGCACTTTATAATTATTTAAATCAAAAAATTTTTTTAAACCAAAATATTAGAGAAAAACTCCGAGAAATTTTATTTATGATAATTCAAACACTCTTAGAATTAGAAGTTTACTTCAAAAAGTAAAATGACTTTAGAAGAAAAATTTCTGAGATTATAACAAAAGATAAAAATTAAATAAATATTACTATAAATTATATTAGTTTTTTAAAAATCGGTTCTTCATATTATAGCACTTGAAATCGCTTTGTTTTATTTTCGTAAAAGAATTTAATCATATACCTATTCAAAACAGAAACATAAAATTGAAATAAAAAATTATTTTCTTTTGAAACGAATTAATAATATTTTTGTCTATAAATAATTATCATTTTCTTTTCAAATTATCATTTTTAGTAATTAAAATTATCAAGTTTCAATATATTTCAATTAAAAAAAAAAAAAAATGGTAACGAAATGTATTCTTCAGTATCGAAAGTTTCTCTTTTCAAAGTACATTGAGTGCATTTAGGAACAGATTTAAATTTTTCATTTTTTTCAATTTCTGACTTTTTGGATATTTGAAAGCCAATATTTTTTAGAAATTCAATAACGTTGTTGGTGCAAGAGAAAGAGAGAAAAATGGTTGGCAAATGGACTCTACAATTACTCGGTACAGTTCTCATGTTCATTGTGGGAATTTTTAATTTCCATAAAGAAGAAATCCCACTTACTGAAAACAGTGGTTTAAAAAAAATAACTCTTATGAATGATAGAATAAATATGGACTTTAGAGAACAACTGAAAATCACTATTAAATATTTTGGAAGGCTTTTAAATCACTACAAATGCAATAAACGTAATTTATTAACAGGAACAGTGATTTATATGTTTAGAAAAATTTTAATTTTGACTTGTGAGAGTGCAGAAGACATTTATTTGTATAACAGACTCCATAATTATTCTGCCGATAACTTGATACCAAGTAGAATTGATGAAATAAAAAATGGAATGCCATTAGAATGTGGAAGACAACCAGAAAGATTAAAAGAAATATATCAAAATATTTATCGATTCTTAAATTTATATTACAAAAATTTTCCAAAGGAAGAGAATGATATTGAATACAATACTTGTTATGTAGTGAGCCTTTTGGAATTCGCAACGTTAAATGCCGCATTTGTAACTTACAATTATTCAATTTCTGCTCTAAAAGACAAAATAATGAAGTGTATTGCATTAAAGGTAATATATAAAAGTTATAAGAATTTCATTACCGTAACGAACAGAATTTGTATTTTTAGAAATAATGTATTAAAAAAATTTGTTTCAAATAATTTTTCTTTAAATTAATTTTTAATTATTAGGCAATCATTTTAATACTTAAATTGTTTTTTCCAGTCACAAGAGAAAAATTCAACTGCTAAATATTTCAACAAAAAAATGTTCAATACTAACTCAAAAATAGTTATTTATCACCTTCACAAAGAAGATATAAGATTTAGAGATCATCTTAAGATTGTAACTAATTTTTTTAAGACAATTTTAAATCATTATGAATGTAGTAAATCTCCTATAAATGTTATTTCTTCTATTGAAGAATGGAAAATTCCGTCAATAATTTGGTTCATTTCTATTAGTGCAGAAGATAATTATTCTTATCACACAACTAATGCATCTCGATTCAAATCGACAAAATGGTTGAACTATAGTTCAGAAGTATCAAAATTAATACCACAAGAATGTGGTACACAACTAAAGGAAAATAAAAAATTAATTCAAAATTTGTATCAATTGTTTAATATGTACTATGAAAATTTTCCAACACAATTCATTAATGACGATTTTAGTAAATGCTTTACAGAGAGTGTTAAAAACATAAAAGATATCAATCTCGAAGAATTTGATTCTTTTAAAAATAATTCTGCCTACAGGAGACAATCATTAATTGTCATTATAAAAAAGAATCTTGTTTCAATAATGAAATGTGTTGAATTAAAAGAACATTTGTAAATTACTCGAAGCAACAAATAAATCCGATTGAATTTCAAAATAATGTGTTCATTCTTTCTCTCACTTTCTTTACAATTTTTTCACAACGAAGAAAAGTGTTAATTTTTGTAAAAAAAATAGTTTAAATTTGTAAATTTAATTATTACTATTTGAAAGCAGTTAAAAAATATATATCCGATTGTTCTTTTTATCAAAACATGTATTGAGACATAAACTTCAAATCATAGGTTTCATATTACTTTCAAAATAGTAATTTAATCTACAATTTTTATATATATTCAAAACAAAAACACGAATTTGAAGTAAAAAATTATTTTCTTTGAAAACGAACTATTAATTTTTTAGTCTATAAATAATTTTCATTTTTAGAAAATTAAAATAATCGAGTTTCAATATATTTCAATAAAAAGATTATACCATTAGTAACAAAATGTGTGATTAAGTATCGAACGTTTTTCTTTTAAAAATACATTAAGTGCATCACGATAAATTAGGAAAAATTTCTATTTTCCAAAGCTGATCCGTTTTGAGTATTTAGAAGCAATATTTTTTTTAAATTCAACATCGCAGTTTGCAAGAAAATAAGTAGCAAAAATGAATGGTAAATGGAGTCTACAATTATTTGGCATCGTTCTCTTTATCAATAAGGCATTGTTTAGATGCCTTGTAGATGAAGATGAATTTTATGAAGTGAATAATAATTTTGAAAGTAACTTGAAAGAAATAACTCTTATAAATGATGCAAAAGATATGGATTTCAAAGAACAACTGCAACTTACTACTGAATATTTTGAAAAACTTTCAAATAACTGTAAATATAATAAAATTAATTCTAATGAATTCCCAGCAGAAATGATAATTACTTGGAAAGTGCTACGTATCATTAGTGAGAGTGCAGAAGACATTTATTTATATAAAAGACTTAACAATTATAATGCCGATTACTTGATACCAAACAGAATTAAGATTATAAAACATGCAATGCTTTTGGAATGTGGAACACAACCAGAAAGAATGAAAGAAATATATGAAGATATTTATCGATTCTTAAATTTATATTACAAAAATTTTCCAAACCAAGGAAATGGTACTGAATACAATACTTGCTATGTAGTGAGCCTTTTGGAATTCGCAACATTAGAAGAAGCACTTTTTCATTATAATTATACATTTTCTATAATAGATGAGAAATTAATGAAGTGTATTGCATTAAAGGTAATATAAAAGTTATAAGAATTTCATTACCGTAACGAACAGAATTTGTATTTTTAGAAATAATGTATTAAAAAAATTTGTTTCAAACAATTTTTCTTTAAATTAATTTTTAATTATTAGGCAATCATTTTAATACTTAAAATGTTTTTTTCAGTCACAAGAGAAAAATTTAACTGCTAACTATTTCAACAAAAAAATGTCCAATACTAATTCAAAAATAGTTATTTATCACCTTCACAAAGAAGATATAAGATTTAGAGATCATCTTAAGATTGTAACTAATTTTTTTAAGACAATTTTAAATCATTATGAATGTAGTAAATCTCCTATGAATGTTAATTCTTCTATTGAAGAATGGAAAATTCCGTCAATAATTTGGTTCATTTCTATTAGTGCAGAAGATAATTATTCTTATCACACAACTAATGCATCTCGATTCAAACCAACAAAATGGTTGAAATATAGTTCAGAAGTATCAAAATTAATACCACAAGAATGTGGTACACAACTAAAGGAAAATAAGAAATTAATTCAAAATTTGTATCAATTGTTTAATATGTACTATGGAAATTTTCCAACAAAATTAATTAATGACGATTTTAGTAAATGCTTTACAGAGACTGTTAAAAACATTAAAGATATCAATGACGAAGAATTTGATTCTTTTCAAAATAATTCTGCTTATAACAAAAAATCATTAATTGACATTATAAAAATGAATCTTGTTTCAATAATGAAATGTGTTGAATTAAAGGAAAATTTATAAATTACTCGAAGTAACAAATATATTCGATTTAATTTTTAAATATTTATATTATTCTCAATTTTCTTACAATTGATTCACAAAATTAAAGAAGAAAATTTAATTTATGTTAAAAATAATATAATACTCGTAAACTTAATGGCAAATATTTTAAAGCAGTTAAAAAATACAACTCCGTTCGCTTCTTTCTTCGAAAAGTAAATTTAAACCTAGCCGTCTTATCGTACATTTAATATTATTTTCGAAACTGTAAAACAAAAATAAAATAAAAAATTTATTGTTTTCAGAAACAAAACATTTATTTTTTATCTAGTTAAGAAGTTAGCTGATTGACTTTAAATTAAAAATTAGTCCAACTTTACGTCTTTGTATTTTTAAATAAAAAATATTTTTGAACGTTAAAAATTTGTTTAAGGAAACTTCAAAGAATTTCATTTTTAACTTCAAATCTGGAAAAAATTAAAATTTCAATAATATTATTTGAAATTATAAACCAATTATCAAAAAATGGTTGGCAAATGGACTCTACAATTACTGGGTACAGTTCTCTTGATTAATGTGGGAATTTACAATTACTATAAACAAATTAAATTTGCAAAAAAGAGTAATAATTTCAAAAGTAGCTTAAAAGAAATTACTCTCATGAATGATGGTAAAGATATGGATTTCAAAGAGCAATTGAAAGTGGGTAAAAAATTTTTTGAAAATATTTTAAATCACTACGATTGTAATCAAAGTACTAAATCTTCAAAATTGGAGAAATTACATTTTCTGAAAGTATTAATTGAAATTCGTGAGAGTGCAGTGGATATTTATTTATTTCACAGACTGTTTAATTATACTGTCGATTACTTGATACAAAGTAGAATTGAAGAAACGAGAGATTTAATGCCATTAGAATGTTATGCATCGCAAAAAAGATTTAAAGAAATTTACGAAAATATTCATGAATTATTGCATTTATATTTCACGAATTTTCCAAAGAATGCAAATAGTGACAAGTACCGAACATGTTATGCAGTGAGCCTTATGGAATTCGTGCCAATTGAGAATTTGTCTGTTACTTATTTTGTTATGTCTTCAAGTAACATGAATTCTCTAAACATATTTGTGATAAACAGTTTACAAAAAATTAAGAAGTGCATTCCATTGAAGGTAATAGAGATTACTAAGTGTTTTATTTAAATAATTAATATTACAAAGAATAAGAAAATAAAAATTATAAGTATTTTAATTCAGTAGCAAGTAGAATTTTCTTAAAAACCAAAAAATTTTCTTAAAATAAGTTTTTCTTTGTACATTAATTTTTGCTAAATGGGGACAATAATGTTAATTTTAAAAATACCTTTTTGCAGTCACTTAGAAAAAATCCATCTCCTAAATATAACAGCAAACGAATTTCCAAAACTAACTCAAATTCAATCAGTTATCAGCTTAAAGAAGAAGATATAAAATTTAAAAATCATCTCGAGATTGTAACTAAATTCTTTAAAACAATTTTAAATCATTACGAATGTAGTAAATCATCGAAAAATGTTGCCTACCGTAAAGAAGAATGGAAAATTTCGCTGATAATTAATTTTATTAGTTCCAGTGCAGACGAAAATTATTCATTTCACAAAAATATTGGATTCGATAAAATTTCAACGACTAATAGTTCAGAAGTATCAAAATTAATACCCGAAAAATGTGAAATACAACTAGAGGAAAATAAAGAATTAATTCAAAATTTGTATCAATTTTTTAAAATGTTTTACGAAAATTTTCCATTAGAATTCATTGATGACGATTACAGTAAATGCTTTATAAAAAGTGTTGAAATTATTAAGAACATCAATATTAATCATTACAATTATTTCTTTTTGAAAAATACCTTTGGTAGGGAATGGTTAATTGACATTATAAGAAAAAATCTTCTGTCAATAATGAAATGTGTTGAATTAATAGAAAATCTATAAGCTACTCATAGCAAGTAAATATTTAATTTTCAAAATATGTTTCTCTTAATTTTTTTTAAAAAATATTTAATATCGACAAAAGAAAATGTTATTTTTACAAAAATAATTACAAATCTGTACATTTAATGACAAATATTTTAAAGCAGTTAAAAAATACAGCATAAATTTTTATTGTTTCTTCAAAAAATTTAATCACGAATTTATGGTTACACTTTTGTAACAATCAAAGCACGAAATTGGAGTTAAAAAATAATTTTCTTTTTAAACTAAACATATTTTTTGGAATTATTTTTGCAGAAGACAATCAATTAATTATTTAATTTTAATAAAATTAATAGATAATAATAAATACAAAAGAAATATAAACAGCAAAAAATAATAATAATAAATAAAATAAAAAATACAAAATAAATAAAATAAAAATACAAAAAACAATAAATAAATTAAAGAATGAAGAATCCTGTTTTAATAATAAACTAATAAAATAGTATTAAATAAAAGGAAAATTTGTAAATTACTAGAATCAATAAATATATCAGATTAAATTTCAAAATTTGAGTATATTTTTCCCCTACTTTGCATACAATTTGTTTACAGTGCAAAAAACAAATTGTAATCGCAAATTTAATATTTTCGACACTGAAAAACACGAAATTGTAATAAAAAAATTATTTTTCTTAAAACTAAACATTAAATTTCTGCGCTTTGAATAATTTTTATTATCAATATATATTGTATTGCTTTTTTTAAAGTAAATAAATTTGTTCAGAAAATATGTAAACAAATAACTTATTTTTATTTAAAAAGAATTATGTTTTCCTAAAATTAATTCTAATTTTTTCTAAAGTTTTTTTTCTTTTAAAAGAAATGAACTTTTGTAAATGAAGTAAATTTTTTTGTAAAACGATTTTCAATAATAAATAATTTAATAATAACTTTAATTAAAATCCAATTAAAAGACAAAAAGTGATCAATTAATTATTAATAAAAATTACCATTAAATACAAAAAATAAGGAAAAAAATGTAACATCTGATTTTCCAATATTTCCAATTTTAATTTACTGAATAATTTAATGGCGATAATATTAAATTTAAAAATAATTTTTCACTATTGTAACAATTATTATAAAATTTATAATTTATATAATCGAGAATATCTCTTTTATCAAAAATTAAATCTCTCTACTCAGTTGATATAGAATTAAATTAAAAATTACAAAAAAAAATTGACAATTAAAATAAAGAATTTTCCTGGAAACGAAAGATAAAATTATTTTTATTTAAATAATTAATAAGCAAGTGGAATTTAAAAATATATTCAAAAAGCGACAAAAATGAGAGGAAAGAGAATAAAGTTTTTAAAAATGTTTCAAAAAGATTAAAAATAATATGAAAAATGATAAAATTCACAGTTTCTCTATTAATACATCATATTATGTCAAAATAAAGATTCATTTAAAATATTCGTCAAGGAATCAAATATTATATTAAAATTAAAATGATATTCATTGTAATAATATTATTTTTGAAACAATGATTGACAAAGAAATTAGGAAGAGAATAAAAGTATATTTGAAAGCAGTTCGAGATAAAAATGAGAGAAAATTTATTAAAAACTCCAATTTACTGAATTTAGAGAAGTAATTTATTTCTGAAGTGAAAATAATGCTTTAGAATAATATTATTTCGTTAAAAAAAATTCTGTCACAAAATACTGTTTTGAAAAATGAAAATTCAGTTAAAGAAAAAATTTTTTAAGAATAAAATTTTACCAAATTAATTATAATTAATATTAATTATTGTATAATAATTAATGTTTATCGTAATTCGTAATATAATATAATAATTAATATGAAAATTAGTGTAATATGTAATATAATAATTAGCATAATAAATAATATAATAATTAGTACAATAATTAATTCGTAAAATAATATAATAATTAATATGACAAATAGTATTATATTTAATACAATGATTCGCATAATAAATAATACAATAATTAATTTAATAATTAGTATAATAATTAATGTAATAATTAGTATAATAAAAAAATATTTATGTTCTAGATTAGAAAAAATTTCATGAATAAATTTTTTTGAAAAATTTAAATTTTATTATTACATTATTATAATTATTTATCTATTCTTTTGTAATAATGAATTAAAAAAATAATTATAATACTAGTCTGTGTAACGTGGAAAAAGGGAAAAATTTATTTAAAAAAATTTCAATTACTGAATTTAGGGAAGAAATTTCTGATGTCTTTTCTCTTCTTCTTCAAACATAATGTTCATTTTATTGGCAGAGAAAAAATTTCTTAATAGAAATGTATTTACGCTACAACGGATGTAATCAAGAATCTTAAAGGACACTTTATCTCAGCATAAAAGTGACTTTTTTTACTCAAAGGAATTCTTGAGTCATGGAATTTGTCCTTTTCCGAGGAATTTAAAGAAGGCCTTTGCCTCACGATAAAAATTGAAATTTTAAACCATATCTTGTTCGCAACATTTTGCGTTTTTTTTTTTTTCAAGAGGCCGAGGCGGAAGCGCTTTTTAAATAAGAAATTCGCGCCCTTATTCATCATTCTGACAATTTTTTTTTATGGCGAAAATGATCGATAACTTTTGATAAGAGATAGAAGGAGAGGAGAGAGAGAGAGAGAGAAAGAAAATAGGAATGATACAGCAGAAATGAAATCGCGAATTGTAAAAAAAAGGACGAAGAAAAGTAGTCATATCGAAGGCGATAACGATTTCCTGTTCATTTCTTTTTCATTTTTAGTCCAGTCATTGAGGACATTTTTTTTTCCCCTTCTTTTTTTTTCTAATGAAAACCAAAGGTCTTACGTGTCTATGACGCCTTCTCGTTTTATTTCCACTTTTCGAAAACGACAGTCACGTTTTTCGGTCTCGCAAATTGCCTCACAGGAGAAACGACCAGTGTCGAAAAACCTCGGAAAGATACCTTTGGTGAGAGAGAAGAGAAGCCTTTTATCCAGATGTGATTTAGATAACGTTCCCAGTGAGAGTAAAGGTGAGAGCGCAAGTGTAAAAATTCGAGAAAGAAGAAAAAGAAGAAGAAGAGGAAAAAGAAGGAAAAGAAGAAGATTTTCCCACTTCGATTCGCGAATGAAGGCAGATAAGATCGGCACTTACGACTTACGATTTTCAAAACCACGCCTCAAGTTTGCTTGGTTTGGAATATACGGCGAGATAATTGTTGGTTTCATCGTTACCTCAATAGGCAACATTTTCTCGTACACGGCACACGAGATCAAAATGATACACGCAAGAATTTGCAGAAAGCGAATTCTCACTCACTGTGAAAAAATACAAAAATTATTTGATTCAGAGAAAATTTTACCTGACTGCTATCAAATAATTTATTTCTGTCGAATTATCATCTAAAATTGAAAGTTTAGAAAAAATTTATTCATCAAGTTTTTTCTAATCTAAAACAAAAATAATTCTATATTTAGAATTATCTTCTGAAATTAAATTTTTAGAAAAAATTTATTCATGAAGTTTTTTTCTAATCTAAAACGAAAATAATTTTATATTTGCTCCTATTTTGTTCGGATTTAATTTTACAATTTTATCTTGTAACAGTAATTGAATTGACAGTTTAGGTTTCATTGCGATTTTCTCCTCAATTTTCTCTTCGTCCTGAGTTGAAAAAACATAAGTCGTCCCTGGCCATGTTCAAATTTCGCGGCAAACAAAACGCATGCGCGAGAATGGACAGACGATACAACGCATGCGCAAAGTCTCGAGGTAGACGCGAGAAAAAGCAGACGACAAAACCATGTGAAAAAATCGGAAAGAGAGTTTACGACGTGTCACGAATATTTATTAATTATTTGATAATAGACAAGTAATCGTTTATTTGAGTCAAATAATTTTTTTTCTTCAGTGTATTTGTGAAAACCTGACAATTAGTAGTGTGAGTTACCACTGCAATTGCGCGTCTTCCGAGATTAACAATGAATCTCCTACATTTGAAATTATTCAAAAAATTTATTTCATGAAGTTTTTCCTAATCTAAAACATGTACAATTTTCTCTAATCTATTCCTCGTTTTTATTTCGTCTAAACGAAGTAGAAAACAAGAGGAGTAGAGAAATAAAAATTAGTTACATAACAACGAACGTTCTAAAGTTGAAATTTCAAAAAAATATTATTCATAAATTTTTTTCTAATCCGAACAATTGGATCGCTAAATAATTAAAATAAAATTTACAATTCTAAGTTAATCTAACTGTTAATGTTTATTTATTTACAGTAAAGTCTTATTTTTTGTTTTGGTTTCTTTGCTTATTGATTAAAAAATAATAAATAATAATAAATTAATTTCTTTTAAATTAAAAATAATTAATAAATAAATTAATATCATTTAAATTAAAAATAATTAATAAATAAATTAATTTCATTTAAATTAAAAATAATTAATAAATAAATTAATTTCATTTAAATTAAAAATAATTAATAAATAAATTAATTTCATTTAAATTAAAAATAATTAGTAAATTAATTAATTTCATTTAAATTAAAAATAATAAAATTAATTTCATTTAAATAAAATTTTCTTGATTACCTATTCATTTTTAAAATTTAAAAATAAATTCCAGGACTTTAATTTAAAAGAAAGAAAAGAATATTTTAATTTTATACACCAAGAAGGTGATTGTATCTAATTTTACATATTGATTATTATTAACGTATGAAATTTAAAAAAAAAAAAAGTACGACGTTTATTGAAATTGAACCTGACTTTTGCATTTTCCTGTTTGTCAAGAGAGTGACGTCTCGTTTATTATTATACTGATATAAATTTGAATACTTCTATAGCTCTACTACAAAACTTTGATTGGCACTATCCTCTAGATTTTCAACAAAAAAAAAGACCCATCAAATTCTCTCTTTCTAAAATAATGTCGAAATCACTAAAATATTCTCTTGATTAATTTAATTGACATTGACTCTTTCGACAAATTTATGAAATTTTCCACGAAAAATGAAGTTTTTAAAATTAGAAATTATTATTATTAGTATTATTATTATCATTAATATAATTATTATTAAATCATTATTATCATTAATATAATTACTATATTAATATTGTTGCGAAATATTATTTTAATTTATTCAATATTTTTTATTCAGTTATTTATTTAATAAGTATACGGGACAAAAAAATAAAATATTAAAATTTATATTTCCCTGTTCAGTTTAATTTTATTTTTAGTTTAAAAATTCCAAAAAGCAATTTTATGTTACGAGATTTTATTTTATTTAAATGTTTAAAATATTTATTTATTTCATAAATATACGGGATAATAAAATATTTTAATTTATATTGCGCTGTTCGGTTTAATTTCTTTTTTTAGTATAAAATACATTTTTTTCATTTTAATTTTTTTTTTCTATATTTGAAAGCATTTCTTGTAATTTTATTAAATTATTATTAAATTTAGCAGTTTTTTAAATATATTTTTAAATTCTAAAATTATAAATGAATAAAATATAAATAAAAGTAAAAAAAAAATTATAAGTGAAAAAAAATAAATGTGTATAAATTTTTGAACTATACTAAATAAGAAATAAATTAATAAAATAAAATCGAATATTAATTTAAGGAAATCAATAATTCAAGAGGAAAAGGTCATTAAGTCAAATTAGTCGCAATGTTTACAAATTCAAAGTTGAGGACACTTTGAACCATTATGACGTCATAGTTGTAGAATACATGCGTACATAATTAAATAATTATTGAATGATAAATAATAATTAAATACTAATAAATATTAATTAAATAATAATTTACAATAATTAAATATTAATAAATATTAATTAAATATTAATAAATATTAATTAAATAATTAAATAATAATTAAATACTAATAAATAAATTTTGACAAAAAAAAATATATTTTTCTGTTACAGAGGAGGAATTGGAGTGTCTAGCAACGTGGAAAGAGGGCAGTAGTCGATATTTAGTGGGTAGATTGAATCACGATCATGCAACAAGCAATGAAGATCGTTACAGGTGTTTTGTATACGAGAGAGCCGATCAGAACGTTCAGGGGAATTTAAATCGTGCCACCAGCGGAGTAGGCCTCGAAAATAATGAACAAGAAGTTCTTCTCTCCAATGGATTGTCAATGGAAAATTCCTCAATTGAAATATTTAATGTCGCCCAAAGTGGTGACGCCACGTGCAATGGCCTCTTCAGTCCAATGGAGGGATCGCGGACCATGAAACTCACCAAAGGTAACGTACTTTTACTTTTCATCTTATATTTATATTGAAAAATATTTTTATATTAAAATTATAATAATTAAATTGAAAATTTTGATATTTAATTTTATATTGGAAATTGGAAATTATATTTCATTTTAAATTATAAATTTTTAATAGAGTTATCAATTTACTTATAATTAATTTCTATAATAAACTTAAAATATTTTATTTTCAATGAAATTGTAATTTAAATGTAATTAATTTCTATATTACAAAATATTCAAATATTTTATTTTAAACATTAATTTATAGTTACAAATTTTTATTATCAATTTATCAATTTATCAATTTATAATAGGTAATTAATTTCAATATTAATTTCCAAATATTGATTAACTATTTTCAATTTTAAATAACAATTTTATATTTTTCAATAATAAATATCAATTTATTTATTATTAAACTTTAAATATGAATTTATAATTTCAAAATTTGTGTATCAATTATTATGAATAATTAATTTACCATCTTAATTTTAAATATATGTATTAAATTATAAATATAAATTTATAATTTAAAATTTTGAATATCAATTTATGAATAATTAATTTACCAACTGTAAATAAATTATAAATAAAGAAAATATGAATTTAATTATATAATTCATTATAGATATACAAAATACAAATTTGTAATTTATAATTTAATTCAATGTGCCAACATAAAAAATATAAATTTATAATTCACAATTTCTTGTAATTATAAATTATAATTGTAACAAATACAAATTTATAATATTCATAATTAGTACCTTCTTTCCAAATATTTAAAATTATTTGAAATATTATTTCAATTTTAAGTGCAAAATGTTCAAATTTTTTGCAATTTTTTTTCAATATTTTTGCAAAATTCATTTTGAAAATTACCTTTAAAGGAAATTTGTTTCATGCGACTAATTTCTTGAAAGAATGCTTCAAAAAACAAAAAGTAAAGAATAAAAGTTTTGAAAACTGAAACTGCAGGGACAGAAAAGAAAAAAAAGAAGTCGCCAGCTGAGCTAGAAAACGAATTATATCTTAATTACGACTTACGATCTTCACAGTTTTCTAACGACTCGTGTAAAAACGACCAACTAAAAAAGCGCTTTCGCTAAATTGGCTACTTTTAGTCAATTCCCCTCCCATTTTTTTTCTTACCCCCCCCCCCCCCCCCCCCCCACCAACCCCCTTTCTCATGAAACTTGAACTCCTGTTTTATTTCATCTCCTCTACATTTACAATTTCTCTTTTTTTTTCTTCTCTTTCATGAAAAAATTTACAGTCAATTAATCTTTAAATTAAAAGTAATAATTTATTTTCTCCAACAGAAGAATTATTCATTATTTTGCTGCAATAATTATTTATTATTTCGCGCGCACAGTTATTTATTGAAATATTTTATGTGAATCGTTTTTCATTTTTAAAAATGAATATTTACGCTGGTTGCTGTTAAATGTTTATATTTATTATCGAGTTTACAGAAGTTATTGGTTAGGAATTTTATTGTTACTAATTGGAACAGTTATTTTTTTAATTTCTATTTTATTTGTTACACATTTTCCAATATATATGAGTGATTGTATTTTTCCAAGTAATTGAATTTTTTTCAAGTAATTGTACTTTTCGAGAAATTGTACGTTTCTAGCAATTTTTAAAAATATTTATTTTATATTGTTTTGCTTAAGTGAATGAACTTCAATTATTTATTTTTATATATATTTGTTTCTTTTTCTAAATTTTTTTTACTGAATTCAAATCAAAATTATTTATTACATTCTTTAGTAAATTTTTTTGTTAATTTTTCTTATTTAAATTTATTTTTATAGAACCTATTGAGTCAATTTATTAAAAAGAAAAAATAAATAAAAGTTAGTGGAAAAAAATTAAAGGAGATAAAAAGTAAAAGGAAATTTAGAAAATTAATCATGTTAAAAATAGTGATTAAGTTTAGTAGTAATTTAGTAATAGTGATTTAGTTTCAGTAAAATTAATTACCCCAGAAAATTGTTATTTGATTAAAAATAATCTTCATTACGAAAATTTTAATTACTTTGAAGAATAGAGAAGGTAAAAAAATTATTATATATTCAACTTTCTGAACAAAGAAAATAAATAATATATTTTAGAGAATTTCCACTACTTTTGATTCGCTAATTTTCAAAAATATTTCGAAAAAATTCATTATTCAACAAAATTTTATGCAATTTATTTTTCACAATAATTTAATTACTTTCACTAATAATAAATTTTTTCATGAAAATTCAATTTTTTAAAAAAAAAATTGATTAAATTCTAAGCATGAATTTAATTATTTTCATAAATAATAAAACTCATCGAAGAATTTCAATTATTTTTATTACTATTTTAAATTAATAATCAAAAATTCAGTTATTTTCACAAATAAAGTTTACCACAAGAATTCAATTATATAAACTAATAAAATTTTCATATTTATTATATTTTGAAAAATTTAATTATTTAAAACAATGTTTATAAAATTCTTATGAAGAATTCAATTACTTTCAAAAATAATAAAATTTTTCACAGAAATTCAATTCTTTCTAAACATTTTAATAAACTCTTCCGCAATAATTCAATTATTTTCAAAAATAATAAAAATTCTTCTCTGTAATTCAATTATTTTTGAGAATTATAATAAAATTCCTAGCAACTATTCAATTATTTTCATAAATAATAAAATTCATAGCAGGATTTCAATTATTTTTAATACAATTTTACAGGAATTGCTCAAAAAATGTAATTATTTTTAAAAACTAAATTTTCATTCTTCGAAAGAATCAATTGTTTAAAAAAATGTTTTTTAAATATTTTTTTGAAAAATTGAATATTTATTTTCAAAAATTTAATAAAATTGTTCGAAAGAAATTAACTGTTTTAAATACAATTTTAATTAAATTTTTTTGAAATAATTCAATTATTTTTTTAATTTTAATTAAATTTTTTGTCTAAGAATTCAATTATTTATACAAATAATTTTTCAAAAGAATTCAATCATTAAAGATAAATAAGAAAATTACTCCCGAAAATTCAATTATTTTGAAGTGTTTTAATAAAATTCTTTTCAAAATTCAATTATTTTCATAAATAATAAAATTTTTTTTAGGAATTCAATTATTTTCAAAAAAATTTATTAAAATTTCCCACAGACATTAAATTATTGACAAATTTTTCAATAGAATTTTTTGTAAAATTTAATTATTTTTAAAAACTATTCGCAATGCAATGATTTTCAATGTTTACTATTTTCATAGTTTACTATTTTCATAAAATTTCCAAATAGAATTCAATTATTTAAAAAATGGTTTGTAAAAATTTTCCTAAGAATTCAATTCTTTTCATTAATAATAAAAATTTTCATCAATTCAATTATTTAAATTAGAATTTGCATAAAATGAAAAGAAATGAAAAGAAAAGAAAATGAAAGAAATGAAAGAAAAAAAAGAAAGAAAAGAAAATGAAAAAAAAGAAATGAAAGAAAAAGAAATGAAAAAAAAAAAAAAATGAAAGAAATTGAAAGAAAATTGAAAAAAAATTGAAAAAAAAAAATTGAAAGAAATGAATTATTTAAAAATTTTTATAAAATTCTTCGCTGGAATTAAATTATTTTTATATATTTTAAATTCTTTCGCATGAATAATAAAATTCGTAGCACGAATTCAATTTATTAGCAGGATAAGAAAAAAGTCAATATTTTTTATGAAAGTTAGGAAAATAAAAAATATGGAATGGAATTTTTGTCAATTTTGTAAAGTGAATAAAACGAGTATTTTTGATTTTTTTGACATTAAAAAAATGTCAATAATGGACAAAAATTAATTTTCAAAACGAACAAATGAATGCAGAGAATTTGCTAGCGGAAAGGAAACTTACAATTATTATAAAGTATTTATTCTTTATTATAAATAAATTACGTCTCGTAAAAAATTTTTTATTTAATTTTTTGCCATTGATCTTGAAATTAAAAAAAAAAATTTACATTCCATAAGAAATTTATTATTCTTTTGATAATAAAATTCTGCGATTCGTTTTTCATTTCCAAATGAATATTTACGCCAGTTGCCATTAAATGTTTATTCATTCGAATTTACAGATTTTCACTCTTACTAATTAGAACAGTTTTTTTTTTATTTTCTATTTTATTTTCTACACATTTGTCAAGTAATTGTATATACGTTTTAAGTAATTGCAGTTTTACTTTAAATACACTAAATTTAAGAAATACGATTACGTATTTCTAGAATGAGAGAAAGAGAGGATTTGGGAGGGGGAGGTATTTTACATCTAGAGTTTGCACTTGTCTCGTTTCATTCCCGATAGGTTCTGTAGGGGGTTGACACGACAGCCAATAAAAATCGACACGTAGATTCGCCCTCGACAAATTTGGTATAGAGAGAAATGGAGAGAGAAAAAAAAAAAGAACAAGAGAGTATTTTTTTTTCTTTTTTTTTATGAGAAAAGAGAGAGGTCCACTTCGCCTGGGACGTCAAAATGAACAGAAAGGAACGATTGAGCCAAAGTATCGTACGTCGCTTTATGACACGTAAAAGCATTGTTGCATCGTGACAGGAAAGAATGGAAATAATTCAACGACTCGCTTCGATAAGTGAACAGAAGCACCAGTGAACTGAAGATACAAATTCCTTTAGTCGTAAAAATCGCACAATTTTCTCTCTCCCTCTCTCTTTCTCTCATTCACTCGTAAGGGCGCTAATTCGTATTTTAACGCAAACGATAAAATTGTTCCGTACTCGCTTTTCTGCCTCTGTTTCATTCCTGTTTCTCTCCTTTCTTGTTCTCTTTTCTTTTTCTCTTTTCTTTTTCTCTTTTCTTTTTCTTCTCCTTCTTCTTTTTTTCTTTTTCGATTTTTCTATTTCTTTTATTCTTTTTTTCTCTTTTCTTCTTCTTTTTTTCTTTTTCGATTTTTCTATTTCTTTTATTCTTTTTTTCTCTTTTCTTCTTCTTTTTTTCTTT